TCGCCTACATGCACCTCATTGCCTTCGCGATCCAGCTCATCGGCCTTGTCTGGATCGTCTTGCTGCCGTCGCAGAAAATCCCGCTGGCCATGATGAAGCAGCGCGGTGGCGCCACGTCCGTCGGCGTCCTCGTCGCACTTGGCTACATTGCGCTGATGGCGTTCTCGTGGCAGCAAAACGTGCACAGCTATGCGCAATGAGAACTACTACTATATAGATACTATACGACTAGACGCACTACGATAAAACTAACAAATCGACTATTTATGATCTTCTATCCTCTGCTGCGCGTTTGTGCATAGGTGACAACGGGACGTCTCGCTTGCGCGTGCGATGCAGCCTCATGATTTGCCGGCCAAGAAAAGGAATGCGCTTGAACAAAAGGTACCGTGTAATGTTGTCTTTGTCACAGGGCGACCGTCGATGCGTGCCCTGCAACGAACGCGCTGCTTGTTTCTGCGCATCAACCAAGTTTTTTGGATTGCCGTCGGACCGATTACGCTTCAGCGAGGGCTGAGAAGCATCATCTCGACGCGGCGCCCGTGGGCTTGTTTGCGGTTTCGTGATCACGCAGGCGTCGCATGCCGGTCGCTGTGTACGTCAGCACGCTCCTTGGCGGGCGGACGGACCTGGAAGAATCGCTTGCCCAAGAGCGAATGCTCGAGTATCTTTAGTAGAGAGTCGACGCTGCGATGGCTGTGGCCTGGGCGCATCCTCCAAGGAAGGTGGATTCGTCGCCAATCACATGTCGCAGTCCACGTGGCGCTGGGATTGGCGTCCATTTGCATGGCCACGTCGTTTTTATGGCGCCAGAGTGCACGTCACGGTGGGGAAACTGCGGGGTGCAATGCGAGGCGGCTGTGACAGGCACCGCGGCCGTCCTGTCAACACGCACCCGCTTACGACCGTGCCAGTCATTCTAGAATTCAACCTCATGAGCGCATCTCCATTACCTGTAGCGCCACCTCTGGACGTCGCGTGCGGCGACCCGAGCGACGGCGGCGACTACTGCGGCGACTCGACGACGCTCCACGTCTCGAGCAGCGGCGACAGCACGAACGGCGAGGCGCTCGCGCCCGGTGAGACGGTCGGTCTCTTGTCCAAGCCCGCGCTCGTGCTCTACTTCCAGTCGATCGTGTCGACGTTCATGCAGAACGTTCTGCCGCCGCTCAAGCTCTACATCTTCATGGCCTATCTGCACAGCTCTGCGGACCACTACGCGCAGCTCGCGGCGCTTGAGAACCTCGCGTGGTCGCTCCGCGTGCTCTTCGCACTCCTCTCCGACTACCTCCCGGTCTTTGGCCACCGCCGGCGCTTCTGGCTCAGCCTTGGCTGGGTGCTTACGTGCGTGAGCCTCGCCATCATGGGCTTCTCTTCGTTCGGGTCGCCGTTCTGCGACCCGAAGGACTACCCAACGTGCTGGAACCCCAAGGCCAACACGACAAAAGCGGCCTATGACTTTGCTGCACCAGGCCGCGTCGCCTGGTACCGCGCACCGACCTTCTTTGCGACGCTTGGTGTCGTCCTCGTCACTGCCAACGTTGACGGCCTCATGGTCGAGTACGCGCAGCGCGAGCCGATCGCAACGCGCGGCCAGATCCAAGCCGTTGTGTACGCGCTCACGGGCACGGGCGGCCTCGCGGCGCGCTTCTTCATCCAGCTCATGCTCAACGGCAAGCGCTACGGCGGGACGTACGACTGGTCCGTGGGCGCCAACTTTCCGTACCTTCTCAGTCTCGGCGGTGGTCTCGTCGCGCTTGTGACGGCGCTGGTGTTTGTGCACGACAGTCCTCGGCCGTTTGTGCCGCTTCGCCAATGGCTCCATGGTCTCTGGTTGCTCTTGACCAACCGCGCCGTGTACCAGCTGCTCATCTTCCGGTTCTTCTACTACCTCTTCAACAACGTGTACGGCAACCCGCTCTTGGCGTTTGGCATCCCGCTCGTGCGCTGGGTCGACAACCTCGACATGGGCTGGATCAACATCACGCCGCGCCTCCTCTTCGTGCCCATGACGGGCTACGTCGGTCGGGCCGGTCTGCAGTGGAACTGGCGCTACGTCGCGGCCGGCGCCACCGGCGTCAACATTGCACTCATGGCGTTTGCGACGTTTTTCGTGATTTACGACGTGTGCCGCAACGCGTGGTTCTACACGGCCGTCGTCGTCCTCACGGGTGTCCCCGTCGCCATCAATTATCTTCTCCAGGGCCTTGTCATGGTCGAGCTCGCGGGCGTTGGGTACGAAGCGATGATCGCCGCGCTCTGGGCGACGATCAAAGACCTCAACGTTCCAATCGCGCTCAAGTGGCACACGTTTATCGCCGACCAGTTTCCCGTTCAGAGCATGCTTCTGAAGGACGACGACCACACCCGCGACCAGGTCGCGTGGACCCACGCGATTTCGTTTGCGATTCAAATCGTCGGCCTCGCGTGGTTTCTTCTCGTGCCGACCCAGAAGCTTGCGATGCGTGCGCTCAAGCACGGCGCGGCCTCGCGCCTTGGCGGCGCGGCCGTCGTTGTCGGGTACTTTGCGATGCTCGTGTTCCTGTGGCAACAAAACATCGACAGCTACAGCAACTAACTTACTCTATTATACTAATGCATCTATTGCCCACCTCTTGTAACCGTTGCTCTGAGCGATTTCAAGTTCATGCGCGCGTCGGCAACCACAACCGATGACGCGACCGTTCCATGTCGTTACAGACGGACCCCAACCCTAACGGCGTGATCATGCGCGAAACCGATGCAAGTTTCTAGTCTACAGCTAAAGGAAACGGTAGTCCTGTTGATTTATAGAAGTGCAGTAGCTAGGCATTAGTAGTTGTAGAGACTCTGCTGCAGCGCAAAGACGATCAGCACAAGGTAGGCGAGAACGACGAGGACGCCTGCGATGGGCGAGCGATCATTGCGCGCAAGCAACTGCAGCGTCGGAAGCCGGTGCGTCGGGAGGAAGACCACAAAGAGAACGCCGACGAGCTGGAGGGAAAAGCTAATGACGTGCGAGTACATGACTTGGTCGCGCGTATGCGCATCGTTGAGGAGCGCGGTGTTGGCGGGGAAGGCGTCGTTCATGATGATGCGCCAGCGCGCGGCGACAGGCAGCATGAGGTTGCTCATGGCGCCGTAGAGCGCTGCGATCGTGGCTTCGTGGCCGACGCCGGCCACCTCAACCATGACCCAGCCGGGCATGAGCGTCATGAACGCCAACGCAATCGCACTCAGCGCCAAGATGACGAGGTAAAAGTACTGGTTGCGGCAGACGTCATAGATGACAAAAAAAGTTGCGAGGGCCGTGAGCACGATGCTAAAGACGGACGCGATACCGACGCACTTGCGCCAGTTCCACTGCAGCCCCCGGCGCATGATCTGAATCAGCGTCGGTACGTAGAGAATGCGACCCATGACGTTGGACCAGCCAATGCTGATGTCCGTCACCCACGAAATGATTGGCGTGCCCAAGGGGCTCTGGAAGAGCGAGTAGCAGATGCGGAACACCACGAGCTGGTACACAGCACGGTTCTGCAGGAGGCGCCAGAGCCCGGTCGTCCAGTCGGCCAGCGATTTGATGTGGTTGTGGGTGTCGCGAAAGCAGCAGATGGCCAAGACGAGCGAGACAAAGCTCAAGCCGAAGCCAATCATGTAGGCGACCGCGGGGCCGGCCGAAAAGTCGTACGTGCCGCCGTACCGCGGCGCGTTCAATCCAAAGAGGCCAAAGAAGCGGGCGTACAGAATGCCGAGGCCCGAGATAAAGTAGGTGAACGCCTGCAGCCGGCCCCGGAGCGCCAGCGGCTCGCGGTGGCAGTACTCGACCATGACGCCGTCGAGCGACGCCTGCACCATCGCGACACCGAGGTGCACAAAAAACGTAGGTGTTCGGTACCACGCGGCTCGGTTGGGCGCGTCAAAGTTGTAGGCGGCTCGTGTCGTGTTGGCCTTGGGGTTCCAGCAGGTCGGGTACACTTGGGGGTCGCAGTAGGGCGCGCCGACGGACGAAAAGGCCATGGCCGCAACACTGGCAACGGTCATGACCCAGCCGAGCACGAGCCACAGCTTGCGCCGGTAGCCGAAGAGCGTGACGTAGTCAGAGCACACCGCAAAGAGAATACGTGGCACCCACGCCATCCACTGGAGCCACGTGAACTGGGCGACGATGTGCGCGGGTGCGTGCAAATAGGCGGAGAAGAGGTAAGTGTTGAGTGGCGGCAGCACCCACTGCAGAAAGCTCGCCGCGATGCTCTGGACATAAAAGACAATCGTGTCGCGCGAGTTCAGCGCGAGGGCACCGCCGGGGGCGAGGGCAGATGCCGAATCGTGAGTAAAGTCATCGGAAAGACCGGCGAAATCGACCTCACTCGAGTCTGTCGTTGGCGGGTCTTTGGATAGCGAGGTGGGTGGCGGGTTGTCGGGCATGGTAAATTATAGAGAATGAGGCTAGTCGAATTACGTTTGACGAGCGATAACTTCATAGAAACTCTAGGAAGCGAGCATGTACGCGATGCTTATGGGGCGCAAACCTTGGCATGATCGACGTTCAACAATTGACGTCGTCTTTAACGTATAGGTTTAATTAGGCAGTCCCATGTTAAAAGGTAGCGGGTCCGCTATCTGTACAAGCCCGTATGGTGTACAAAGCGTACAAAACAGTTGCGTGGTAGGACATTGACCGTTTTTGTCGCGCTAATATCCGCGTGGTACGATCAGGGTGTTTAACCTATGCATGGGTCGAGTAAACGTACGTGGCACATAGAATGGTTCGAGCTATGGAACCGAGGTCATTTCATATCTGTTTACACCAAAGAGCTTGACGCAAACATGATTTTTGATTGGAACTCAGTATGCAGCCAGCAACGCGCCCCGTCATGATCTGATCCTGCTTACTTGATCATCAGCTCAGTTCGTGGAATACTCATAGATAGTGTGAGCTGGGAAAGGGCACGAGTAGGTGCGATGTGCAAGTGCAGTCCGCATACGATGTCGCCTCTAGCTCTTGCCGCACCACAGCGGCATCGATATAAATGTGAAACAACGAGCAGCGCTCTGGGTCAACGTGCTCGATGTGACCTCGTACATGTACATAACCCTGGATTGACCATCGTCGCGGGCTTGTTCAACGGCGATTTAAACGCATGTCTTTCTTTACCGTCTAGTTGCTTGCATCGTTCGTGCGCTGAATACCGAGTCCCATCCCACACCATATATATGATCCCACGCGCGAATGAAGGGAGTGCTTGGCGTTTTTCCCAAAGCGCAACAAGTCAAGCACAGCGCTGTGAATGGTGGCAGTGACGAGACTATATAGGTGGCCGCAACGTTATCCACTGGCCGTCGAGGAGGAAGGATAGCCCTATCGCGTCCCTGTCGACAATACTACACTGCAGAAAGACCGAGTACAGTACAACATGCAAACATGTTGCATAGTGGTCATCGTAGCCGGCGTGTCCTCATATATACTTGGCGCTTCCTACATATGCACACGCTTGCAGTGGCTGAACTATTAGGTATGCTATGCAACGCGGCTCGATAGTTTGCCACGAGGTCGGTTCTACAACGCAAATGCGGCGGGCATTTCGCTGTCGTGTGCTTCACACCATTACCACAGCGGCACGGGGCCCCACAGCGGCACGGGGCCCCTTAGTTGTACCGCAAGGGCTCGCGTGCACCCAAATGGCGGACGATGTGACCAAACTCGCGCCCCCATGTGATTGCCAACGACCAGTCCCGTCGTCCACTTGCACTGCTAGCGCCCACGAGCGATTGCATCGCAAATCTCAATGGAATCGCAAATCTCAATGGAAACTGAAAGGAAAGGGGTGCATGTCGCCACGACTGCTTTGGTTGAAACTACAACCAAATTCTCGGCGACATCTCGCAGTACGCTGTTCTGCGATGCGAACACGAAATCGCTTCTCTTCAAGGCAATCGGCTCCTGCGCGATCTGTGCAGTATGAGAGCAACAGCCACCAATCAAGGGGCCACATACCAGGAAATCATCGCAGGATCCGCCTTCTGCTTGCTTTGTATGCGAGTAATGCGACGGAACTCGCACTTGAGCGCTTACGCTACGAGTGGCCTCGCAATGACGATGGGCCTTTGATTGAGTCAAGGAGGGGCCGTCGCATCGACCCAGTGATAAACACTGCTGCGCGCGCGACGTGGAACACCGGGTAAATGCGTTTTACTGCGTTTGAACACTAAATTTGCAGTCTTTAACGCGAGGTCGGAGTGAGACACGTCACGTTAAACCCGGATAACTCGGACGATGGATAAGCGTAATCGTCAAACCAACGAGCGACAGCTTGCGCGCATGAATCGCATGCGCAGGAGCGAAGGATCCCGACCTTCGGACGATCGAACTAGTAATCTTTTGTAGCAGATTTCGCCGTGAGCTGAAGGAAGGAGCCTCATTTTCAATTTGCCTCGGCCATGGCAACCACCGACCCTCATGTCGAGCTCCACCCGGAGGGCTTCTTTGTCGAGACGCCGGAAGCGAGTTTCAAGCCGTTTTCATCGGGTGACGACGACCCGTCGACGGCGCTTGCGCCGGGCGAGCCCATTGCGATGAAGTCGCGGCCCGCTATCGTCTTCTTCGTGCAAATGTTCATGGCCAACCTCCTCCAGATTCTGCTGCCGCCGCTCAACACGTACATCTATGGCTCGTACCTCCACGGATCGGCGGCGCACGTCGCGCAGATCGCGTCGCTTCAAGCCGGCGCGTGGACCTTGCGCGTCTTCTTCGGCGTCCTCATCGACATTGTGCCCGTCTTTGGCTACCGGCGCAAGTTTTGGCTCGTCGCGGGCTGGCTCCTTACGATTGGCGCGCTTCTGTCCATGGCGTGCCGGTCGTTTGGCGATCCGTACTGCGACCCAAAGGATCACCCGGGCTGCGCGACAGCGCGCAATCCTAACGGCTCGCTCTACAATCTCGACGCGCCCAACTCGGTTCCGTGGTTTCGCGCGCCAATCTTCTTCCAGACGCTCGGCGTCATGATCGTGCAGGCGACGCTCGACGGCGTCCTCATCGAGTACGCGCAGCGTGACCCCATCAGCACCCGCGGCATCTTCCAGGGCTTTACCTACTTCTTCCAAGGCATCGGTGCGGTCTGGGGCCGCCTCTTCCTCCAGCTCTTCCTCAACGGCCGGCGCTACGGTGGGTACTACGACTGGTCGGCGGGCCCCAACACACCGTACTTTGTCGCGATCTTCTTTAGCCTCTGCGCATTTGTTCCGGCCACCACGCTCTTCCGTGACACGAAGAACCACATCAAAAGCGTGCCCGCGTGGTTTGGCCAGCTCTGGCAACTGCTGCAGAACCGCGCCGTGTACCAGCTGCTCGCGTTTCGGTTTCTGACCAACCTCTTTCAGAGCCCGACGGGACCGACGGTCGTGACGTGGGTCAAGCACCTCGACCTGGGCTGGGCGAACGTGATCCCGCGCGTCCCGTACATCCCCACTATCATCCTCACGACCAAGAAGGGGCGCGCGTGGAACTGGCAAAAGGCGCTCTTCATCGCGACGCTGGTCGGCATCCTCCTCACCGCGTTTCCCGTGCTCTTTGTCGTCTGGGACGTGTGCCGCAACGACTACTTTTACATCATCCTCTTTGCGCTTGCGATTGTCTCGACGGGCATGAACACACTCATACCTGGGTGGGCGCTCGTCGAAGTGGCCGGCGTCGGCCACGAAGCCACGATTGCTGCCATCTTTGCCACCATCAAGGACCTCAACGTGCCCATCACGACCCGCTGGCGCACTTACATGGCCGAGTCGTTTCCCGCCAATCTGGCGTTGCTCGACGACAACCACACACAGAACCAAGTCGGGTACAACTGGCTCATCTGCCTCGGTATCCAAGTCGCCGGCCTCGCGTTTATCTTTCTCATTCCATCCCATCGCCAGCCGCTGCTGGCGATGAAGCAAGCCAGCAAAGGTTCAATTATCGGCGGCGCACTTGTTATCGCCGGGTACATCGCTCTCTTTGTCGTCGACTGGCAGCAAAGCTTCAAGGACTACTAGTCGGACGCTTCTATACACTAAACTATGCATCAATACAGACACTTGCACTATGATGCTGCGTGTGCGTGCATGGTTCTGCGCCATCGTGCTACACTGCTACCACGGCAAGGGCCTGCGACAGCGCTGCCGTGGCGGCAGAGTCGCTGCCAAGAGCCGGTCCCGTCCAAATTGGAAATGTCGAAACGGCGCCTTGCGGTGCTGCCACGTCATGCGCTTGAAGTAGCCAAGGTAGTGGCATGCCCTTCGGAAATCCCCTTGCATACATACGGCTATCTATCGTAGATACACTGCGAGTAGGTTACTACTTAGTTCTCTACTAGTATCAACATCAATTATTGGACCAAACGAAGTGGTCTCAGAGGATGTCGGCTACCGTGATGGGATGGATCGTCACAGGCGACCCCAGTCATAATCGAGCTTGAAGTGGCGCTCTCGTCACTGGCTCCAAACTGTTTAAACACACATGTGTCGCAGCCTGGCATACTTTAATCGACGTTTTTTCAAGTTAAACGTCGATTCGAACTGTGGTAAAATGGTTTGACGTGTGTACGACTGAGCGTCGGCAGCATCATCGATGATGGCTCACGAGGATGATGATGGTCACAGGAACAGTCCGAGGATCATGCCGGACGGTTCCAATACGACGATCATCACAAGCAGCACTTCTCTATTTACCTTGCAGCATGGATCTACCGCAGCAGGCGGACCTCGAAGCTCACTACAAGCCGCTCGGCGACGGCGACCCGTCGACCGCCCTCGCGCCCGGTGGCGCCGTCCCACTCAAGTCGCGGACAGCCATTACTTTTTTTGTGCTCTCGGTCGTCGCGACCTTTTTCCAGACCGTCGCGCCGCCTCTCAACGCGTCGGTCTTTGGCGCCTACCTCCACGGCGCCGCGCCGACCGTCGCGCAGTTGGCTTCGCTCCAAGCAATCGCGCGGACGCTGCGCGTGCTCTTCGCCATCCTCTCGGACGCGACCGAAGTCGGCGGCTACCGGCGCAAGCTCTGGCTGCTCGTGGGCTGGCTCGTCTGCGTCGCCAGCGTCGGGTGCATCGCCTTCTCGGACTTTGGCGCGCCGTTCTGCGACCCGAAGGACTACCCGAGCTGCTGGAACCCCACGGCCAACACGACAAAAGCGGCGTATGACTTTACGGCGCCAGGTCGCGTCGCCTGGTACCGGGCGCCGACCCTCTTTGCGATGCTCGGCGTCGTCGTCGTGCAAGCGAATCTCGATGGCGTCCTCGTCGAGATCGCCCAGCGGGAACCGGTCAGCGTCCGAGGGACGTTTCAGACGATCACATACTTCATCTCGGGCATTGGCGGTGTCCTTGCGCGCTTCTTCATGCTCTTTTGCCTCAGCGCCAAGCGCTACGGCGGCGGCTACGACTGGTCCGCAAGCCCCAACGCGCCGTTCTGCATTGCGTTTGGCCTCGGCCTTCTCGCGATTCTTCTCACGATGTGTGTCTTTCGAGACACACACAATCCCAGCCAGGGCCTTCTCAACTGTCGTTCACTCTGGACGCTGCTGCAGACGCGGGCCGTCTACCAGCTCTTCGCATTCTGCTTGCTAACGAGCATCTTCCAAAGCCCGACGGGACCCGCAGTCGTGGCATGGGTCACCAACCTCGACCTTGCGTGGGCCAATGTCATCCCGCGTATCCCGTACGTGCCCACGATGATCATCACGCTCAAGAAGGGCATGGGCTGGAACTGGCGCAAGGCCGTCTTCATCACGACCCTCGGCGGCATCGGCGTGACAGCGATCGCCACCTTTTTTGTCATTTACGACGTCTGCCGCAACGACTACTTTTACATCATCGTCATCGCGCCGGCCTCGATCGCACTCGGTATGAACACGCTCATGCCCGGCTGGGCCATGGTCGAGGTCGCGACCCTCGGCCACGAAGCCACAACCGCCGCTATCTTTGCCACCATCAAGGACCTCGTCGTGCCCATCACGACCCGCTGGCGCACCTACATGGCCGAGTCGTTTCCCGCCAATCTAGCGCTGCTCGATGACAACCACACACAAAACCAAGTCGGGTACAACTGGATCGTCTGCCTCAGTATCCAAGTCATGGGTCTTGTGTTCATCGTGCTGCTGCCAACGCAGCGCAAGCCGTTGCTCGAGATGAAGGCGCGCGGCGAGCTCTCGGTCATGGCTGCGCTGCTCGTGGTTTTGGTGTACGTTGCTTTGTTTGTGTTTGACTGGCAGCAAAACCTGAAAGACTACTAAGTTGTGAGACTCTAAGAATGCAGTCAACGTGCTATGACGTGGCACGTTGTGGGTTGTTTGAACAGTCCAAGTTACGTAACGGCTCTCCGGATAATGCATTTCCTTTGACCCAAGAAGCCGAAAATCGCCAAGTTTGTCAGAACATTCATGCTTACGGCGCTTCCTCTGAAGCTGCAATGAGAAATCACATCGATACACGTCATAGCTCATCCTTTGAATCCAGACACAGGTCTAAAGTCGAACTCTCGGCTTGGCGACGTGCCACGTATCGCCTTCCTGATTGGTCGACTTGACTCAAGCTTTTTTAGCAATGTGCTGTTAAAAAGCACTCGGTTGAATGGGTGGTGCCACAAATAAGAGCGATTATTTGTGGCGATGGCAACTCCAAGCGACGAGCCGGTCGTCGCGTTTGCTGCGTCGGACGACAGCGCGCCGGACAAGAAGGCTGCGAAGCGCAAGTCGCAGTACCGCCCGGAGCATGCGCTGCAGTTCGGCGTGCGGCCCATGTCGGACCCGCCGGTGCTCAAGGTGCAGTGTCTCTTCTGCGTCCACTTTGGCCGCGAGATCCTCGAGCCCGAGAAGCGCCTGCGCGAGGCGACCAAGAACGTCAAGTACTGGCGGCCGCCGTACCGCGCCGAGCTCTACCACAAGCACCATCAGCGGCAGCACCTGACGTTGTACACGGCGTACGAGCGCCTCTCGCACCGCGAGAAGGTCGCCTTCTTCTTACCCGAGAATGTCGCCCGCCTGCACCAAACGACGACCGGCGCCAAGATGGCCGCGCTCAAGCACGTCACTACTAACCTCTCCGAGCCTCCGTACATGTGGAAGCAGCTCTTTGACGTCCCCGTGCCCCGGCACTTGCACGCGCTCGCCGACTCGTACTCGCAGCAGGTGCTGGCCGGGCCGCCCCTCGAGCCGCGCTGCCAAGCGCTGTGCTCGCTCGCCATGCTCATGGGCCAGCCGCACATGAACGCAAGCATGTTTGAGATGCAGATCTCGGCCGCACTCTCCAACAACGTCCCTCGCCTCGACATCGTGCACGTGATTCTTACGGCCGCGCCCGTCATTGGGGTCCCCGCGATGCTCTCTGCCCTCGAGTTGGCCCACCGTGTGTTCACTGCTGCGTCTGAGAGCGACGAAGAGGAAGCCGGCGACGGCAGCGACTCGCCGCAAGACGTCACTGTATAAGCTACCATCTCGAGCCTGCAACGCTCTAGAGGCCCATATATTCGAGCTCAAGACAGCATGTCAGCTCCTATGACATGTAATAACAACAAAATTGCTCAATTGACACTGGACAATAGTACAACGCGTGGAAGACCTCGACGCGTGGGCAGCAAAGTCCTCTACAATCGTTGTTGTTGCCACAGGGCTTGTATAAATAACACGGGCGGAAGCACGTTCACAGCGCTGTTGAACACGCTCCAAGCTTTTCGCGCAGGCGCCGGAGCTCGTGCTCGAGGCGCGAGTTGCTATCGTGGGTAGCAGGCTCCTTGAAGCTGGCCAGCTTGGCCGGCCGCGACAGTCGATCGTTCTGATACAGGTTGTACACGTGCAGAGGCGCCGCCATTGTCTCTTGTGGCTGGTCCCATAGCGCCGGGTAGCTAAAGTCCATGGACGTGTCCATGCTCGTGTGGCTCGCGGCGCTGTTGTCGTAGGCGGGTGCCTCCATCTCGTACGACGGCGGGACGGGCATGTTGGGCTCGCTCGGCGTCGGCGAATGGCGCTTTGCAGTCGACTTGACGTTAAGCTCGTCGTTGAGGAGATGCACCGTTGCGCTGAGCTCTTGGTTCTCTGCCTGTGTCTGCTCAAGGAGCTGCCGCAGGTTGGTTGCATCGTTCTCGAGGGTCGCGACTGCTTGTTCGTGCGCTTCCCGCTGCTGCTGGAGCTCGAGCTGCTGGAGCTGGACTGTCTCGCGCAGCGTCTTGACTTGAGCTGCAAGCGCGTCCAAGGCCGCTTGGTGGTTCACCTGCACCATCTCGAGCATCTCCTGGACGTCCATCCTTCGGCTGCCAACTTCGGTCGCGTCGTTTTTTGGCCAATGCGGTGGCTCCAAATCGTATCCGCCAATGGCCTTGCAAGAAACGCGGAATATTACGCCATCGCCCAATCACATGCAAGAAAACTTTGGCCTGTGGCAACACGCACTCGGCGCGCCAAGTAACGTTAACGTTAATGCAGTCGGGATGGTTCCTGCGACCAAGATGGGCTCACGTAACATAGCTGCAACGCGTAACACCTCTGCGTGCATTGCAGACATGTATGATCGGTAAAAGCTGCTCGTCCAGGTATTCAGCGGCGCTCACGACACGGCGCGAGCAATGCATGGGCTATGCTAGGATGCTATCCTACACATCGCTTCCTCCTCTACACCATAAAAGTACCAAGCTGAGCACATCATGGCCATGGCAGAGACATTCCTTTGGCGCGCTGGGCTCGATTTCAACGCTGGGGGCACTGACGTGGCGCGCCTACTGTGCATCGTCAATGGCTCAGTCCTCAGGCCAACAACGGCGCCGCGAACCATCCGTACGCGGCGAGCTGGCGTGCGCTGGCAACACCACCCACGCCACACTTCACGTCTCTACGTGCCTATTTTGGTAACTTGACGTACTGGCACAGTTGCGCGTGGCCATTGTACGCAATTCGCGACAACGAAAACATGCAGATCTTTTTGGCCAATCCACGTCGCACATACAGGCTGCGGCCAATCCACGCGCGTGAAAAGAGATCATTTCTACCAATCGCATCCATTTTGAAGAGAAAGTGCAGCACGATGGACGGAGCGGTCGTTGTCCGGGCCATGTACTTCGTCGGCGCGGTCTGCATCGTCCTCGTCACCCTCGCGCTCGGATGGGTCGTCGTCTGGAAGCTCATGCTCTCCAAGATGAAGCTCGTGCGCGAGCTCCTGGACCTGAACCCGCCGACGTCGCCGCCACCCGCGTCCAAGCCCGCGTCCTTTGACGAGCGCCTCAAGCAGTACAAGGTGTTTCGCCCATTGCGCCGTGTTCTCGCTCACTCATGACGTTATATTCTATGTAGGAGAACCCCAAGCGACGCCAAACCGGCAGTAGTTTACTCGTGCGGGAGGATGATTCGACTAACTAAACAGCAACACGAAAGTGCTACGCAGCGGGCTCTGTCGTGGACGCTTGCGCCTTCTTCTCGAGGGCGAGCTTGATGCGCTCGGTAAGGCTCGTCGCCTCCTTGCTAATCGTGTCCATCGCATCGTCGTCGGGCTCGGTGGGCGCCTGCCGGGGTCGGACCACGGAGCAGTCGTCTGGTAGCGTCCAGAAGCTGCGGCCATATGCGACGTTGTAGTAGAACGTGCGCTATGCATGACGTCAGTCGCGCCTCATCCCGCTCCCCATCGTCGTACCCCCGTCGCCGCGTCCACATGCTCGGTCCAGAGGCCGCGCTTCTCGGCCATGGCTGCAAATATCAAATGATGGAGGCTTGATCTATGCGATCTCGGAGGTTCCCATGTTGGCACATCAGATATCAACCATGTACCCAGTCGCATGCCACTCGGCTACCTGTCTGACCATCGCTTCCTCTCACCTCCTGTCCAGTCGGCGTCCTACCAGTTCCGACTTTGCCTTTTCACAATGGCGCCAGTATGATCAAGTTACATACGACGGGCTTTGCCCACTCGGTCGCCGCTTTCTCAGCTTGGATGGTGCACCTCCTCCATGCTGGCACCACTTGTGAGTCGGACTGGAAAGCCGAGTATTCGATAGTCCTCTGGACGCTACACCAGCAACAGCAGCCTCTCGTTCTCACGCGCCGAACGGTGCGCTGGCGAGAAGCACGCGTGCCGTTCGATCTTACGTTTCAGAACCCGTGGAAGCCAAATATGATGGGGTAACCTAGTAACCCAATAATCCTGCGCGGGTCTATGTTGGTCGACATGGCACCCATCATCAAAACAGTAGAGAGACGCACGAGTTCTTAGGTTAAACATCAATAATGTATCGCGGGGCGGATCTAATTTATACAGCGTTGAAGCGGTGGTGGTCAAGCGGCAAGTCGAGGAGCACCGACAGAATGTGCAGCTCTTCGGGCGTCCAGGGCTCGGGCGGACTCGTCCATGTGATCGGCGCCATCGGTGGCAGTTGCGACCACCAGACGCTCTCGTCGTCGTCGTCGGGCGACGAGCACAGAATCGACGAGAGCGCGTCGTCGCTGTCGTCCATGGACGCACTGCGCATGGGCGACGCCATGCGCGGCTCGTTGCGGAGGGCGCGCCGGAGTCGCCGGCGCTTGGTGTCCGACTTGCGCTGGTTCTTATTGTGCAAGAGGCGGTGCTCTTCGCAGAGCGTGTGGGGCTCACCGTTCTCTTTGATCGTCCGCTCGTTCATGCAGCGGCCGCTCTTGTACTTGCAGCGGCCATGCGACGCGTTGCTGCTGGCAAAGGTGGTGGTGTTCATAATGGTCTTCTTGGCGTGAATCGCAGACGCCGGGGAGAGCAAGGACGAGGAAGAGTAGCTCAGCGGCAGCTCGATCGTCGTCGTCGTCGTTGCCAGCATAATTGAAAAGTGATCGTTGTCGCCGCGTTGATTTCGTGCAGGTCGGTGCCAGCTGGCGTATAAAATTTAACAAACGTACAGTACGAATATTTGGCGAAACGGTTGTCCCACTCTCTCCAATTACGAAACGCGGGGCCGCGCGCTTTCCAAGTCTGCCGGCAGAGAGCCCTGCGACGTCGCGAGCAAAGATTTGGGATGTTCCATGCGTCCGACGGGCGATTGACGAACGTTTTCGTCGGCGGCGAGACAGCATCGACGGCAGTATCGTGCACGTTGACGTTCGCGACGCCACGTGTGGGATCGCGGAAAACAGACTCGTGGCACGACTGTATGTGTCCACAATTGAAAGATTTTGAGCACCCATTTCTGCGCCGCCGCGACTGCACTTTACAAGAAAGCAACGTTGGAGGACTGGACATGTCATTCGCCTCCGCCTCCTCCCCACGCCTGCTCGACCAGGCTCATCACGCGAAAATATAGAGGCGCCAATAAACCAGCCACCATCGATATTCGAACGGTAGAAGAAGAATACGTTATACAGAAACGCGGGGGCTACTGTCGCAGAGATTTTGTATGAACGACGTCTCTCTCCCGCTACGCTGCGCGGTCGAGGCCCAAGATGCACTGGCGCTCAAGCTGCTCGTCCCAACTGCGACCCCGTCGGCAATTGACGCGGCCATGCTTCTCGCGATCGAACGCGGCCATCTTGATGTCGTCCTGAGCCTCTTGGAGCACACACGCGTTCGGTACTTGTACGTTGAGCGCGCTGTTGCGTGTGGCCAGGTGCGCATTGCACTGCATCTGAACCAGCGCGCTGGCGATGCCGTGTGTGCTCTTCCGAGCCCGACGTCTTGCCCGCGAAGTGAGGCAGAGGAGGATAAGCCCGTCCGCGCCGCGATGTGGTGCCTGGCCAAGCACTTGCTCTCGAGCCCGGCCGTGTGAACGAGTCGTCTGCGTATGCGTCGATGACAGTGGGATGGGTTGACATGCAAGACCAGAGGGTGGGCCCTTGTCCGCCGAGAATAATAATATTACAAAGACACAGTCACGCTGGCTGTCACACGCTGCAACTGCATGAGAAAAGCGACTCTTGGAGCCGCGTTTGGACGAATGGCAGGTGGCGAACGGATCTATTCGTGACTTGCGTGTCAAGAAATTTTCCCCAGCACTTGGTGCAACGATGGACCTGATATCCACGCAGGTTCCAACCCTATCGGGGGTGGGTGCGCGCTCGACGTGCTTGCTGAGTGTCCGCAATCGAGCCGGCGCTTGAAAAGTTCATGACGCATTACTTCACGTTGCCAAATACACAACACGGCATTGCAATTGCAAACGCTCGATCCCTTTTTTCGGCCACGGAAGACGACCCTCATATATTTGCCGCCACGCGTTGGACAGAGTGCCCCTTCTAGGCAAAGGCAGCTGCCCTGGAACAACAATGAGCTGTTGTTGGACCAGACGGGCGGTTGCACGGGTCGTGGCTGTAGTACTTGATCAAAGGCGATCGAGCCCCCCATTCCGATCGCTGGGACGGAGACGTTGTACGTGGATATGACTGTGTTGTGGATCGTTGAGAGAGATGCTGCAACGACAATGATCGCATAGCAGTGAACGGAGCCTCATACGTTTGCGGCTAACGTTAGCTGCGACTATTAGTAGCCGGCTACACCATTGTCCGCTCATGCAGGGGCGGAGCTCCGGTCATGTTCATTTGAATGAGACGAAGGATGGTTTTCCTTACTGCGGTGTCCTGTCGCACCAATGGCGCATGCGAGAGCTCTGTGCTCTCAAGCGCTCTACGAGACGCCTCACAGCAACGTCGCGGTCATGGGGGCCGTGGTTGGTTGCTGAACGGCCACACGGCTCCACTAGCTCCCCCACGGTAACATTCCTGCTATAAGATCTGATTCTCGTTGTCGCCGGCGCTGTTTATTGTGTATCTCGACGCCGCGCTCAAGGACCTCGCGCAGACGCTCGGCGAGGAGGACAACCTACTCGCCCACACGGTCGCCTACGCCGACGACTCGGACGTCACCTGCCACGACGCTGCTGCCATGACCAGGATCAAAGCCGCGGCGCCATAATCCGTCTTCGCCCGGTGGGACCTCAAGATGAATAAAGACAAGACGGAAGAAACGCAGGTATTCAGGTCGACGTACGCGGCCTCTTTGGCGTGGCACACGACCAAGAAGCTCGGCAGCCTCCTCGACGACGCGGCCGATCTGTGCGCTCGGAAGCAACTGGCGACAACAGCGTTCAACAACATGTGGACGATCTGGATGCGTCGAGGCCTCATCTCGGAAGGCAACCGTGTGCGGCTATTCAAGTGCTACGAGGTCCCGGTCCTTTTGTACAACTGTGGCACGTGGGCCCTGACGCCAACGAGTCTGGCGGGCCTTGACAGCTTCCATCGCCGGCAGCTGCGTCGTCTTCTAGGCATCTTTCACCCGAACACGCTCGGCGACGTCACGCTCTACAAGCGCTGCAACAGTGTCCCGCTGAGCGAGATCGTCGCCCGCCAACGCTGGCGCCTGCTGGGTCACGTGCTGCGCCTGAAGGACGACGTCCCTGCCAACATTGCCGCCGCCCTCTTCTTTGCCGCTCCCGAGGCACCCCGTTTTTTAGGCCACACCAAGATGATCACGTTGCCGATCGTCCTGCACCGCGACCTCCAGTCGTTGACGCCGCCTCAGTCGCTGGCGTCTCTCGAGGGCCTCAACAAACTGCGTAGCTTTGCCGCCGATCGCGAAGCCTGGAAGGAATCCACGGAGCTTGTCGTCATGGGCCTCACCCGCGGCCGCAAGCGCCACCGGGCGACCACAGACGAACAAGACGAGCCCCTGTGCCGCCGCCTGCGCAGCCACGGCCCGGCGAGCGAATGAAGAAGGAGATGGCTACTCTAACGCGAAACACGTTCATATATATGTAAGATCTGATTGTTCGATGGAGCGTTGGGCAGGGACAGCACCCGCGAGCTCGTTGGTCGTTCACACGTACACGGACGGGACAACAATCGGGTGGTATACTCCAACACCGTCACCGAGGCATGTCAGCTCCATTATTGACATGCAGAAGAAACGCCACGAGCTCAACAGTCCGTGCAACGACGCTCGTCAACACGAGCATTCGACACCACAACTTTGCTCACTTGGTCCATCTCTACTAGTACCATGTAGAGCGACATCCATGCACCCCTTGTGGCACGTCCACCCAAAGAGGGTGGCCCGCTATTTATCTGCACAACGCCTTGGTAAACCATCCCCGTCCAATGTATTGCGTCAACATCAACCTAATAGACCGAAAAGAAATGCAGCGCCGCCGAACGTGCTGCGGGGCCAAGAGAAGGGTCAGCTCGCTCGCTGCAACGAGACTCCGCGCCGTTGAGCGAGCAATGCGACCAAAGGAATTCGAGTCGCTCGCGCTGCGGCGGCTGCTGAAGGAATATATCATTGCAAAGGAAGCTTCCTAACGGCTCGCGACTTGTTGACAGTACTCGACTGACGCACGTAGTACACTGTACAACGCCACCGTGACACGGACATGCCTCTCTCGGATTGGTCAATATCCAACGTTTTCTTCGCTCTGATTGGCGCCACTCGGCTTGAGCCAAAGAGACAGCGTGCGTCCGGACTGGCGCGGGCGACTTGTCGTAGAATGAGCGCCGCCATCGCGCACGTCCTCGGGACACCCGAGCTCGTGCTGCACATCGCGGCCTACCAAGCTGGCACGTGGCGCGACTTCATCGCGCTGCGGCCATTGGCCATCGTCGACTTCCAGGAGCGGCTGAGCCCGATGGCCAGCACCTGCCGCGACTTTTGGCTCTCGTACGAGCGCACCGACTTTGTACCGACGCTGCGCCGCATCGACGCCGAGTTCCTCACGCCGTGGTACCGCGGCTACGGCCTCGCGCGCGTCCTGCGCTACATTGACGCTTACGGCTACCGCGGCTTTTTCACGCTTCTGGTTGACGCTGTGCACGCGGGCCGACTCCCCGTGCTCATGTTTCTCCACCACACGTACGGCAGCGGCTGCGACGTGCCGCACCTCGTCGACCTCGCGGCCTGCAGCGGCCACCTCGACGTGCTGTCTTTTCTGCACCAGAACGGGTACTCTGGCTGCAGTACGAGCGCCATGGACGGAGCAGCCGCGCTCGGGCACGTGCACATCGTTAAGTTCCTTCACGAGTACCGGCAAGAAGGCTGCAGCGTCCAAGCGCTCGATTTCGCGGCGCAGAACGGCCACCTCGACGTCGTCACGTTTCTCAAGACGCACCGCAACGAAGGCGGGACACCTGGTGCGATCGACTTCGCGGCGCAGAACGGCCACTTTGACGTCGCCGATTATTTATCGCAGTTTGAAGCCCAGAAACCCTCCAAGCTCTGGATGCGCTTCTACTGGGTACGGCCGGGCGAGAGTCTCTGGCGGCACCAGCTACTGCTTCTCGCGCTTCTTGTCACGTGCGTCTCGGCGCTCGGTGTCATCATGGCCTTTAGCCCGCTGCAAATCAACGCCATCGTCCTTCCCCTCTTCGCGCTCATCGCAGTCTACGTCGGAGTCCGCTGCTTACATCGATAATTCTAGCATTATCTTATGACAATCGTGCCGTGAGCGCGGCTCTTTCATGGCTGACGGGGGGAATTCCTCTCCTTGTTTGCCGACGTCAAGGACGTGCGCTGCAGGAAAAGGTTTTTTACAGCCCTAATTAGGTCAAATGACCGACATGTCGACCGATTCGAGCAACGATTATAGTTTTCAAGGGTTTTGATGTACTAGATAAGGCAATATCCGACTCTAGACAAGGACATTGCCATTGTCATTGCCATGGCACTGGTGGCGCGTCCTTCATGCACCCGACGTCAACCTCGTCGACTGTCCCATCTTCCTTCGCGGTCATGGTCTAGCCTACGCGCTTGTGCACCTGGCCCACGACGCCTGTGATGGCGTCGCGCGATTCGAGCTCGCCCTCGCCGCACTCGACGCCTCGGCGCCCGCCCTCGAGTGGCAGGTGCTTCCGGGAGGCAGCCTCGTGCACACGTACGCCTTTCCAGTTGACACGCCGCGCCTCTCGCACCAACGGACTCCGCCGTACGAAGTGCTTCTCGATCCATCCGACGCCACGGTCGCGTACTTCTGGACGTGGTATCCCTCGAGGCTCTACCGCCTGCGCGTGGACCTGCGCGCCGGCGTCGCCTTGGACAAAGCCATGGCACTGCATATCCAGCCCGAGACGAGTTACTTGGTCGACGGACTATTGTATCTCATCTCCGAGACGGAAGACAAGATTGTCGTCGATGTGGCCGCGATGACAATTGTTGCACAACCCGAGCCATCGCCGCTTCAAGCCCGCGTCCTGCCACCGACGATGCGCGATACCATCGCTACACGAGGCGCCCTCTCGTTGGCGCAGACGTATGAAGGTCTCTGGGTCGAAGGGCTCGGGCGACCGCGGCTCTTGACTGCAAATGACGAGGTCGAGTGCGTCGCATGGACCAGCGACAACGCTATCACACTCACCGTGCTCGAAGGCGACACGTGGATCCGGCGATTCGTATGTGTATCCGATCTGGATGGCTTTCTCGAGGCACTCGACTGGGAAGAGTCGCCCACGGCAAGGTGGGCGCACGTCGACTGGCTGCGTCACCCGCGGCTCGCGCTGCCGTACGTCGACGAGACCGAGGTCGATCGCGTCGTCTCCGTCAACATTGAGTACCGCACGCACTGGGCTCTGCACTGTCCAGCCGACGACGTCGTGCTTCTCATCGACCCCGCGACGCAGGTCTGTCATCGAGTGCTCCAGCGTGTGGGCGCCATCGATGACGTCCTCGGGCTCCTTGCTGCCATGAGCAGCCATGTCACGTACGCGACTTCCTGCCTCCTCACCACCACGCCTCTGCTGACCACGATGGACGCCAATGACCTGGCCGCGTTCTGGCCAAGCCCGGCGGCGATGACACGAGCAAGAAGCTTTACGTACACCGAGCCGAAACGAGCTCGCCACCGCCTCGTCGGTCTCTCGCTCGCCGCCCACAGCGGCCTCCTGGGGCTTGGCGACCTTGTCAACGTGCTCTACGCCGCCCCATGCTTGCGAAGAGAGGTACTCGCACCCAATAGCGTCGGTCGGAACCAAGCACGCGCGCGACTCGCAGACCTTGTTTTCCTCAGTCGCGCTGGGTCGGCCACGTTTCAAGCCTTGGCTGCGTCGCTCGTGCTTTACCTCGCCTCGGTCCACGACGACCAAGTGGATGCGCTGGATCTGCTCGTACGAGACAGCGTCATTACTACAGACAACTAGAAATTTAGGAAACGCTAATGCGGCGATTACTCCACGCGGCCTAACAGTCATATCTCCTCCTCGCGTTTCTTAAATTGACACGTAGGGATAGGTTTGAACTGGCTCGAGGAACCTACGGTTTAGAAGAGGTTGTCGTCCATTTCGAAATTCAGTGGCACGTCAAACGTGTCCACTCTGAACGCATGGTTTGCATGCTTGACTACCTGTACGGTTATGGTTTGGCTGAGGAACGCAGCAATGCAGAACAGTGTGGAAGAATCAATTTGAGATTTTTTGGCAAGTAAAGGTTACGAAGCCAAGCCAAAGCAAGACTAGTGATACGGGTCACCAAGCGCGTGGCTGGATCGCATTAATATTTCCACTGATATTCGCAACGCAGCCGCCCACGATGTCACCTCGGCGCTTGCAAACCACATTATTTTGTTGAACGCTGCAAGAGAAAGCAAGCCTCTCACTTGGCATTACGAAGGTAGTGAGTGATAAACCACAGCGTGAAATGCATGAAGTCGCTGCCCAAAAAGCACTGCGTTTCGGGTCGCATCAAACGCTTGCTACCGCTCGTCGGGCACCTGAAGTCTATGTAGCTTTGCTCTCGGTCATAACGCTTGGAAGGACCTCATGGAGCGTGTCGTCCTGGCCTGTATCCGTGGCCCCAACAGATTGCAACTGAGCATGGAGGAGAATGATGACCCGCCGCGCGCGCAGTGCCAGCATGGCAAGTGAGTGAAGAAGCAGGAGGCTGCTCGTCCCGTTGTCGACGAAGCCATGGCTGGCGAACGAATGCTGCTCGTAGGCACGTACGAAACTCAGTGTCACCCTTGCCAACTGCACCAAGAATGGTGTGAGGCTAGCGTGAGGTCTCTTCATGCGTCAACAGTGGCAAAGTCCGCAGCGGCCATGCGTCTTCCGATTGCATGGCCACGAGCGGCGGCAAAACCAAGCGTCTGCTGCATACGACACCCCATTTTGCGTCCATGCAACCAGTCTCTACGATCTGAGTGGACTCATATCTTAGTAGTATTTGTTAACTTATCGCGAAATGTGCTGGTTCTCGGGGCGCTCAAACATCGGGTCAAACATCTCGCTCTGGTTGATCGGGTTGCGCTTCCCGTTGGCAAACGTAAAGCGGTGCGCCCGCCAGTCGGCGCCGTCCTGCGCTTCGAAGCGGAAGATGTCTTCGCGCTTGGCCTTGTTGAACTGCACGTCTGGGTGGCGCGACGCGTAGCGCGCCATGGTGTACGAGCCGCCCGAGACCGCGCAGACGATGATGCCCATGATAGGGTAGCAGGCGGGGTCCGAGAGCCACGTGCGGGCAAACGAGTACGTGCGCTGGGCAGCGACCATGGTGGCGACGGTGGTGGTGGGGAGGAAGCGGGAAATCCAAAAGTGACGATCGAACACCTTCGCACGCGTCTGAAGACGTCAAGCGCCAAAGACATGAGCGCGCTGCATGTCTAGCGAGCGCTGCCAAATCTTTCACACCATTGAACCTCTGGTCTCGCGATCTTGATCCAGGTGCAGCCAGCACATCGCAGGACCAGAGAGAGCCACTCTCAGCACTCTCTTCTCCACTTGGCCGTTACCGTAGACTGTCCATGGCCCCGGTGCTCCAACGAGGATGCTCGTATGCCGGTTTCTTGTGAGCTTGCGTGACTAGAAGGCACCCCAACATAGTGCTAGACAAACGGTGCAAAGGTTGTCATGCGCCCAACCATCCTACCGGTATCTCCCATCATGGATGGCTATCAGTTCTTGGTGGCTCAAGGTCTGGGCCTTCTTCATGGCACGAGGTTATTTCTAGCGACGTGAGTTGGGAGAGTGTAGCATGCGTGGTCTATGTAAGCCTACCCGGTGCATGGAAGGCTCCCGGTCGGTTTGGTGGTGGCGTACCATGATCCACTCTCACGCACTCTACTCTCACACTCTCATGTTACCTGCGCTTTGTGCACTTGAAGTAGCCAATCAGCGCCCGCGACGTAAGTTGAAGTGCAAAGAAGCTGCACGCAACTGAGTCGCTCGGCTGGCATATCTTTGTTCGCGCCGGAGGCTGCCAGCTCATGACCGCCTCATCATTCTTCAATCGGCTCGTTCCCCCCACCACCACCGTCGCCACCATGGTCGCTGCCCAGCGCACGTACTCGTTTGCCCGCACGTGGCTCTCGGACCCCGCCTGCTACCCCATCATGGGCATCATCGTCTGCGCGATTTCCGGCGGCTCGTACACCATGGCGCGCTACGCGTCGCGCCACCCAGACGTGCAGTTCAACAAGGCCAAGCGCGAAGACATCTTCCGCTTCGAAGCGCAGGACGGCGCCGACTGGCGGGCGCACCGCTTCACGTTTGCCAACGGGAAGCGCAACCCGATCAACCAGAGCGAGATGTTTGACCCGATGTTTGAGCGCCCCGAGAACCAGCACATTTCGCGGTAATCAGCGTCGGCTAGTCTCCTAATGACACTCTGTATTTACGTTCAACGCGTCATTCGCACCATATACCCTATACTATCGAAACATTTTCTCGTCAACGCATGAGCTCGTCGGTGGATACACTCGACAGTAGCTAACTCTGCTGCGAGGTCCACGTGTGGCTCTGAGAACCTCGTTGATAGCACCCGAGTAGAGCCCCTTTCCACGTCCACGGTGGCCCTCATTGAAAGTCTACTTTTAGAAATTGGTGGCTCTTGATCCATGAGGACTCTGGTTCCATGGGTGGACCATGCCTCACTACCAGCGTTGTGCCACCTCTCGCCGCGCGCGTGCGCCGAGCTGGACGCGCTCATGCATCTCGGCAGCCCCATCTTTGCCTCGATCCTCAGCAACTTTGCGTTCTCGCTCACGGCACTTCTCGTGGCGGGGCGTCTCGGGACGACCGAGTACGCGGCGGTTGGCTACGCCCAGCTCGTGCTCGACTTCACACTCACCGTCTTCACACACGGCTTCAATAGAGGCCTCGTGGCGCTCGCAGCCCAAGCGTACGGCGGCCACAGCCATGCACTCATCGGGCACTACACGCAGCTCACCGCCATGTTGCTTACTCTCCTCTGCGTTCCGCTAAGTCTGCTCTGGTACTACAGCTGCGGCCTCCTTCATGTCGTCGGGCTCACGCCGGCGAGCGTTGCCTTCGCTATGCAGTACGCGCGCGCCTCGATTCTTGGACTCTGGCCGCGCCTCCTCTTTGAGGTCGTTGCGACGTCGTTTCAGGCGCAGCAGCTCGCATCGCCCGCAGCCATCGCGTCGCTCAGCGCCGTGGCTTTCCATGCGCTGACGAGCGCTCTCTTGGTCTTTGGTATGCCGCTACTGGGCGTCCGCGGACTCGGGTTTCTTGGTGGCCCGCTCGCGATGAGCCTCACGCTGTGGGGTCGGCTAGCCGGGTATGTCTATTACATGCACCGGGTCGCGCCGCTACAGTCGCTTTGGCAGTGGTCGCCGCGGTCGCTCGCGTGGGCGCAAGTAGCCGCGCTTCTCTCGATAAGCGCACCGCTCATGCTCGGCAAGCTTGTTGAGAATCTCCAGCTCCAGATCATGGCCATCTTTGCCGCCCTCCTCAGCGACGTACTCGCAGATCCTACAGCATCCTCTTGATGGGATTGTACTAGGTGTCGTTGGCTGCGCAAACGACGATGCTGCAGATCGTGTTCCTTGCGACGTCGCCCGTCTGCGCGCTCCACGACGCTGCCGTGAGCCGCATGGGCATGTACTTGGGGGCGGGCCACGCCGAGGCAGCTGCGTACGTCAGCCGACTCGTACTCGGCGCGGTTCTCTTCACGTCCTCGGGCCTCGCACTGTCGTGGGTGCTTTGCCGGCACTGGATCAGCGTCGTCTTCACATCCGACTCGCGCGTGATCGACCTCATTGGCAGCGTGCCCCTGCTAGCGGCGTGCGGCTACGTCGCCCTCTCCACGCTTTTCTGCTACGCCATGGTCGCCTCCGTGGTCGGTGGCTTTCTTGCTCATGACAGAGATTGCGTAGGCAATACTGAGTGCGCAAGCCCGCGCCGGACCCATCTTGAGTACGTCCTTTCTTCGAAAGATGACGTGGCAGCACCCCATGGTATATAGCGGCGTTCGTGTGCGGCACGTGGTTTGTGGGCGTCCCAACGGCGTATGCACTCAGCCAGTTTGACAACAGAGGTCTTCTCGGTGTCTGGATGGGCACGAGTCTGGGGTATGGCGTCACCACCGTTCTTGGCGTCTACTACGCATGCTACGTCTCGGACTGGGTCGAGGAGGCCGCCAAGGCTGTCGCTCGCACGCGATCCTTGGGCGCGACCGCGCCGCTAGTGCTGGCTACCGTCAAGGCCACCGACTACGGCTCCGCAGCCGACTCTATCATAATCCAATGCGACTAGCAACGCGAAAACAAAACGCTCTTCCTATAGGGCTAGGGTAATCTACCGGCGACGGCGCTGGCTCAAGACGTAGAGCCCGAAAATCGCGATCGGGAAGAGGTACAACCACAAGAGCGAGAAGCTCGGGCCGTCGCTGTCCGCACCGACGTGGAGGTTCTGTGCGCGCACGACCTTGAGCACCGGTCCCGACGTCGCCGCCACTTGGCCCGCGGGTTCGTGGCTCAAATCGAGGTTGTCCACCGCGCGCATCTGCGTCTTGGGCTCGGCAATGTAGCTCTCGAATCCGTAGCTGGCCTTGAGCCACGCCTCGACCTTGGGCATGACCCACGCGTCGTCGCTCGACGTGTTGGTCGAGCACTTGTCGCACACGATGGGCTTGGGCCACTGGTAGTGCCGGATGCGGCGGTTGACGCCATTGTGGACCTTCCAGAGCCAGAGGTAGAGCGCGCGGGCCTTGTTGCTCGGGGCTTCCTTGTCGAGGAGCTGCATCGTGTCGAGCGTGTTGGCCGCGAGGAAATGATCGCGGCACGGCACGCAGGTAAAAAAGTGCCGCACGAAGCGCCGCGCGGCGCCGACGACCGCGACCGCGAGCTCGGGGATGTGGGCTCCGTGGACGTCGTGGCCGTTGAGCATCGTCATCATGTGGAAGAGCGTCCACTGGCCGCACGTGTAGAGCTCGCAGGCCGCGTACTTGGTGCCCGAGCCCTCAAAGAGCGACGGCAAGTTCATCCACTCCTCCGTCACGCCGTGCTCGTTGACCATCGGGTGCGCGTGGAAGGTGACCATCGACGTGGCCTGCCACGCGTCGACCATGGCCTTCCACTTGAGATCCGTGAGCAGCGAGACGGGCAAGAGCGCTTCGTACAGCGACCGAATGATGAGCCGGTAGGTGGACCCGGGAAAGGTGAGCGAGACGACGCGGACCCACTCCTTGAGCGCGTCCAGCGCATCGTCGTCGAGCATTTGCCGACCGACAAAGACACCGCCTTTAAGGCCAAAGACGAACGCTGCGCCGGCGTCGTGGACGCGCGTGGTCACGTTGGCCGGCAGCGTCGACTCTTCCCAGAGCGGCTTGAGCGTCGTTGGCGGCGGCGTCGTCGGCGGGTGCGTCTTGCCTTCCGGCGGCCACGTGCCCGTCTCGTTGTAGAGCTGGATGCGGAATTGGTCGGCGACCTAATACACCGCCTGTATGACACAATGCGCAAGGACTTGACGTACGAGGCCGAGCACTTCGTCCATGGTGTGCTCGCCAACCGCGCGCTTGTTCTCGCCGAGCCACTTCTTGTCAAAGTTCCAGAGCAGCAGCGTCGGGAAGCCCTTGACGTTGTAGATCGAGCACTGGTAGTAGTCCATGCAGCTCAAGGCGCCGACGTTGACGATACCGAGCGGCTTGTAGTACGCGGCAATCTCTTCAAAGATGGGCACAAACTGACGGCAGTGCGGGCAGCTACACGTAGACGTTCTGCGCGGTGGGCGAAGGATGGCGAACGTACTAGGGATGGTAAAAGTCCATGAGCCACGGCTTGCCGTTGCCGCCGTTCTTGACGAGCGTGTCAAAGTTGGCGTCGGTGAGGAACGTGATGTTCGGGTGCGACTCGTTGAAGAGCGGCTTGCCGTTCTCCTTGCCGGCGTCCATGGCGGTGAGGCCCATGCCGGCGACGGCGCCGACCATGGCAGCCACGGCGAGGAGGCTACGCAGCATCGACGGCAAAATCGGAAATGCTGCCCAATGAGCGCAGCGCAGCGACTCGTAACACGTTGTGATTGGCCACAATTGGACACTCGACAAACCGGTTAAACCCTTTACCCGCTCGACAGACCAGACGTTCTCAGATGATCCGCGAGGTGGACGAGGCCACGATGCAGCCGGCCACCTTGCAGTCGCTCTATCAGCGGCTATCAGTCGTCTCAAGGACGAGGGCGATACCATCCCGTGACGCTCTTGAAGAAGAAGATTTTTTTTCGATATCGAAGGCTCAACGCCGTTGCAGTTGGCGCCACGGCGGACCGTCGTTGCTTGCACCTTGGAGCATCAAGATCCAAGCAGCCACTGGTAGATGCAGACGCGATAGCTTTTGTTAACACGAATGCACTTGAATGCATGCCACGTGGCACCATGTAGGACGACTTTGCCCATCGACGACCACTCGAGAGCACAGACACATCGATCGATCGTCTACTCGACGAGCGGCAGCGCACCATGAAGCCGCGGCTCCCACTGGGCACCCTTCTGCATGGACGCCGTCGTTCGAATCGCATGGACGCGCCATGTCTTGACGTCAAAGACATGGATCACGTCCTGTTGTCTCCACGTGAGGAGGCCGGTCAAGGCGGCCGAGGCGACGTCGACGTGGTACACGCCGTCGTGCACCCACCCGGTCTTCTCAAAGAGGTACTTGGCGCCGCAAGAGAGCAGATACGACGGCTTCTCGGTCGGCGGCGGCAACGTATAGCGCAGGCGATCGTGCAGGTACATAAGGACGGAGCTGCCGAGCGCGATGGCAACGAGCAAGAGCAGACGAGAGAGACTCCCGATGACCACGTGCCCGCTCGAGCACACGGCTTGGTAGTCGGTCACGTCCACGGCGCAGTGAAGCTCCAGGTCCACGCTGTGCGCGACGGGTGCAATAAGACTAAGAATGGCGGCCATCGCCCAGGCGAGAAACGCGCCCTTGATGGTGTACGATGCCGTGTACTGCTGCGTGATGACCATGCAGATGTCGTCGGCAATGTAGACAAGCCAGCCGAGCTCGCCGGCCGCGAGCACTTTCGTGCAGATGGCAAGAAAGGGCGAGACGTCTTGGCGGGCCGGATCGAGGGTCGTGGCGTTGCCGGCGAGCTGTAGCTGCAGCGTCGCAGTACTGAGAATGCAGAGTGCGGTCACACTGCGCAGGAACAGCATCGGGCGGCCGATCCAGACCATGCCGCCGACGCGGTTGACCTCAAAGAGGTTGAAGCCTTCGCTAGTGAACCGGTTCTGCACCGTGTACGACATCGCAACGAGCGAGAGCACGAGAAGGAGCAGCGAAATGTACTGGCAAAACACCCGGAGGTACGTTGCCACGTTGACTGGCACCTCGGCCGCGCTGGCCGCAAACGTTGTCGTCATGTACGCAGTCGACATGACGGTGAGCGACGCGTTGTCGGCTTCAAAGGCGACGACCTCGCGGAAGCCGAGGACCCAGTCGTAGAGATTCGTCCAACCGGTCAGCTGCAAGGGCACATCCGCGTCGTCTACAATCCGCTGGTGGAAGAGCGAGATCTCGTTCGTGCTGGCGTCTTTGACGTACGTGACAAGGTCCACCGAGAGCGCGTTCACATCGACTTGCACGCGCTGCGCCTGCGCCCGCAGTGCCTGCAGATACGCGGGGGCAAAGTACGTATGAAGGAACGCTGAGATGCTTGTGAGCATGGCCCGGCAGTCGGACGGCGACACCGCTTCCACTTTACATGTAGAGGGAATGCGCAATGTTGGGGCCAAAGCAACACCCGAGGCGAGCAAGGCGAAGAGGATCTGGTCCTTCATGACATACACCCACTCGCCAAAGACGACATTGCAACCAACCGCGACGCCAAAGTACGATGGAAGACCGAACGAGAGATTGAACGATGAGAGCGGGGCATGGCAGAGGAGGTTGCTACCCGCCGAGTACTGCGAGCTTGCGTCGAGAGAACTCGGCACGGCCACGAGACCCTGCATGGTCACGAGCTGGAGGTACGCGATCTGCGCCGTGTAGCCACCGTTGCTGTCCGTCGTGTTGGCCAAGACACGCCGTAGCGCTTCGTGAACATCGCGCACGAGGGCGGCAAGCGACGCCGGGCACGGTACATGGTGCAGGTCCACAGACCCGAACGCACCGAGATGCGACTGAAACACGTGGTAGACAGGATCCAAGGGGGCGCTCATCGAGCCGTTGCGGTAGTAGACGTCAAGCAACGACGTGTTGGCAAAGGCAAAGCGGGAGCTCGATCGCAGCAGTGACTTGCCCGCGACGCCCGAATCGTTGGTGGCGAGAGCCCAGAAATCGCTCGCCAAATTCCAGTACATCTTGTACGACGTCTGCGTCTCTACATGGAACGAGCCGTTCGACGCTTGCAGCGTGAACGGGAAGGCGCGTCCGAGCGCCGTGACGACGTTGAAGGTGTTGAAAACCCCCACCGACTTGTAGTTTTGCCAGGCGGCGGTGTAGGCCACAAGCCCGGTGCTAATCCAGTAGGCGACCTCGCTCTCCTCCGAGTTGGCGTTGGCTTGCGTCGCTTCCAGCCACAGGCGGCCACCGAGGTCTTGGCGCAAGTCGGCGGCGATTCCCGTTGCGAACACGTCACCCCAGCACGTCTCAAAGCCATCCCAGTCGGTGTTGCGCAGCGGCGCCTCCAAGTAGACGGCCGCATTCGTAGCGTACTTGGCGGCACATCGAGCCTCGCGCGCCGCCGAGTTGGCCATCGCCCAGCGCCTCTCAAAGTCCACCCAGCAGTACTGCGTTGCAATCCACGGCAGGAAGCACGGGTTCGTCGCGCGGAGCCCGTGGATGGCCAGCGGCAAGTCGCTCGCTACCTCAAAGTGAAGACGGCGCGGCAGCATGTCCATGATCGAGACGGACGTCGTATTGGTCGCATACGCGTTCACGTCGGCGTACATTGGCAGGTTCAGCGGCGCGTTTTCCAAGCGCGGCGTGAGCCAGAGATACCGGTTGAACCAGTTGGCGAGATACGTCTGCATGCCCGTCGTGTTGAACGAGACCCACCAGAGGTCGTTGGCGAGGTTCACCGACGAGAGCTGGAGGTAGTACACACTACTGCCGACCGTCGCCAAGAGGTAGCAGAGCCCGAGAGAGACCTTGACGATCGCGGCCCGGCGGTTTGTCACCGCCACATGCAACACGGGTGGCGCATTCGGCGGCACAACGTCTATGCACGGGCCAGCACTTGCCTTTAGAAAGCTCATCCAGAGCTTCGTGTCGAAGTGGTACTCGTCGCGGCGCCATGTGAAGTGGAAGACGCCCATCATGCACCCGAGGGCAGGGTCGATGCTCCACGCGTCGTCACCGGGCAGCTCCAAGAAGGCCTCGGCCGCCGCCGACGTCAGCGTCGACGCGCGCCGCGTGCGCAGCTGACGTGGCACCCGCATGCTGGCCGTGACGCGCACAAAGAGGATGCTAACGAGGCTCGCGATGCCGTTGACGGCAACGAGGAGCAAAAGGCGCTGCGACGAGCCAAAGGCCACCGTGCCGCTACTGCACTGCAACGAGAGCACAACGCCGCGCTGCGAGCACGTCCGGTCGATTGTGAGCGTGGGCTGCAGCGGCCAGAAGAGCTCAAGAAGGAGGGTGACAGCCCACACCGAGTAGCTGCTGAGCGCCGCCGAGAGCGCCGCTTCGCGCGGTGCGATCACCAAGAGGACGTCGGAGATGACGTACGTGAGCCACGTGGCTTCGCCAGTGACGAGGAGTGCATGCAGGAGAGAGCGCGGCGTCAAGACAAAGCGACCGACGTCGTGCTCGGAGAGAAAGGTCATGCTGGGGGAGCTCAGAAGGACAAGGGCTGTGACGGCGCGAACGAGCAGCATGGGGCGGCCGATCCAGACGGGCCCTGCGACGCGGTTGAAAGACAGCAGCTCGAGCCCACTGAGACGACAACCGCCGACCACCGTGTACCCGATAGTGCCAAGCGCAACGAAAACCAAGAGAATGGTGGTCGCGACGGCAATGTACCATAGGTAATAGCACGTACTCGCGGGCACCTCCAGCGGGCTCGGGGCCATCGGACGAGTCGGCAGCGGCTCCGACATGAGCACGAGATCCGCCACGTCGCCTTGGAATGCGACCACTTCGCGGTCGCCGTAGGCCCAGTCAAAGAGCATCAGAAAGCCAAAAAAAGCAAAGTCCTTCTCCAGTAGCGGATGGTGAAGCACGAGGTTGTTGCTGCTGTTGACGATGGCAAACTGAATCATCTCGACACGCAAGTCCTTGATGTCGGCCACCACTTGCAGTACGAGGCGTGTGAGCAGCGGCGCGGTGAGCGGCCGCAGCGGCTCGGTGAGAGCTTGCGTGGCGGTGAGCGCATCGACGCAGAGAGAGGTTGCGCTCACGCACTGGCGACAGATCGTCGAGACAAGCGTCTCGTTGGACTGCAAGAGCCGCAGTGCTGTCATTGCAAACGCCTGCCCCGGTGCTTGTAGCGGAATTGAACTGGCAACTTGGGTCGCGCATGTATCTTCAAACGAAAACGACGGCTGAACAAAGCTCGATCCCGGTTGCGTGACGCAGATGGGACTGCCGCCATAGTACGTGGTGTTGGGCAGGCGCCAGGACAGCGGGACGGGGTCCAGCGGCACCGACATCAGCTGCTGGAAGGCCGCCCAGAGGGTATCGTTGGCTTGCAGCGCCGTCGCCACCACCGCCGCGTGCGACGAGACGAGCTTCTTCAGCGACGCTGGCGGCGGTAGCAGCCACATATCGATGGACTCAAACGGTCCGAGGTTGTCGTGGACAAGAATGCTGCAGGGCGTGTACGGGTAGAGACCAAGGATGCTCTCGACGCTGACGGATGGCCCGACCGAGTTGTTGGCCATAAAGTTGTGTGCGCTGCGCACGAGGCTGCCATTGGCCACAGAGGACGCCCAGAGGTCGTTAAAAAAGTACCAGTACATATTGTACGTCGTCCAGAGCGCATCTAGCACCATCCGGTTTAAACGTCGTATCAAGTTGATAGTACCTCGGCTCGCATACGGCATCTGGGTCGTGGAGAGCGCTTGCCGCCAACCAAAAGCGTTGGTGATGGCGATGGTCTCGTGGATACCGGTGGTGAAGATGTTGCCCCACTGCACGGTATAGTGCGAGAGCCCGTGGGCGGTCCAAAAGGCGAGCTCGGTTTCGACCGAGACAAAGCCATCTTGGACGCTCGCCAGCCACGCCGCGCCGCCGGGCGACGAGAGCACCGCGTCGCCAACCGAAAACATGAACGACGGACCAAACCGAGCGTAGAACGCCGCCCAGTTGACGCAGCGGAGCGCAGGCTCGAGGTACACGGCGGCGTTGGCGGCAAAGGCGGCGCAGCGATTCTGGCGCGCTTGCGTGTGCGCGAGCTCCCAGCGCTGGTCCACGTCGACATAGCAGGGCTGCGTCGGGATCTGGAAGACGGCCCAGAGAGGCAGGTTGCGCAGCGCAGCGATGCCGTTGCGGGGCGAGGTCAGATGATGGGTCTCCA